ACCTGATGATAAGTGACTACCGCCACTCATGAACAAATGCAACACCAGATGAATTGCAGATGCGTTGCCGACATTTTAAAAAGGAGTAGGCTCTTTTCTTGAGGTCCCTAAGTCGTATCGGTCTGGAAAAATAGCTGGTGGTAGTCGATTACACAAGGAAGTTGTGCGAGGAAGAAAACTTGTTTTAAATCGCATAGTGGTGAACCGCCAGTGATCCCGAAAGTATGGATGGTATCGCGAGTTTTGTCACGATTTGCGATGGTAAAATCGTGCGACTGAAATTAGTCGTAACAATTCCTCAGAGCACTCCCCGTAGTAAATGCGATAAAACACGCTAAGAAATCCAATATCTCTTCTCAGTGGCGGTGAGTAAAACCGATCAGAAAGAGCTTGGTCACCGACGATTCAAACGGCTCTGAGCTGTATGCGATCATATGGAAGGAGCTGGCACTGGGGAGTCCCAGCTCAGAACTGGGAACAATATTCCATGTGCGGCCGAACCTATGCCTTATAAAGTTGCAGGTGGTGTGCTGGTATGAAAAAAGTGATTAAATGTAAATACATTTTGTAACTTAAATTACGTCAATTAACAAAGACGAAGAGAAGATTTAAAAGTTTTATTAAAGTCGAACTTAATAAATCTTCTCAAAGGGGAGATAATTTGTGGATAAAGTTTGATTTAAATTTATTTGACTCGTGCCAGCTTAGAAGCTGTGATTGCAATTAAAATTTTGATTAAAATTTACTGAGAATAAAAAGGCTTTCGCATTTTCTTATTATAACGCAAGCGGTGTATTTGCAATTAATTTAATTTGTGTTCAATTAAACCGATCAGGTTGTAATGACGGAGTAGCGAATCCACAAACTTATATATTTCTTATATAAAAGAAGAGGCGAAAAGACATGCGGCTCACCTGATGGTCAGTAACTACCACCGCTCACGAACAACGATAACATCAGGGGAATTGCGATCCGTTGCCGGACTTTTAGAAAGGAGTAAACTCTTTTCTTGAAGGTCCCTAAGTCGTATAGGTCCGGAAAAATCGCCGGTGGTAAACTATTACACAGAGAGTTGAACGAGGAAGAATCCTAGTTAACCTTTCAATATGTACACGGTCGGATCCGACCACGGCGACATTCCGTCAAATTCTAAGCGGTCGGATCCGACCACACCCACCCACAGCACTTTAAACCATATAAACTTATATTTAAAGACTACTTGTCTATGAAGAAGTTTAGTATTATAGGCTCCATGTGAAATTTTCTATCCTTTAATTCAATCAAATATTTTTTTTTTTTTTTTTTTTTTTTATATATACGTATACACGTGAGAGCCCTGGCGGAGGAGACTGTATCCCGGGGTGGGGTGGTGCTGGCGGTGTCTTTAGATATCCCAATGCCTTCAACACCCTACCCTGGAGTTGTATTTCGGAGGCGCATAATTACCATCGCGTGCCTCCCTATCTCCGCCGCACGTTTGGGACGTGACAGCGCTGGTCGGCGCGTCATGTCGTGCGGTGTTACGAAGGGATCGGTCTTGTGATCGCTCCTGTGGAACATCGGCTACGACTGGGTGCTGAGAAGTGAACTCCCGTCGGCTTGTCGTGTTATGCGGACGATACACTCGTCACTGTCACTGCCCGGTATATCGGGTCCTCGTGTTTCCAGTTTGACTTGGCTTACGCTGCCCTGTTCTTTAGTACTCTTACATAGTTTTGATTTATGTGGTATTTTTTAATCGCTTCCCAGATAGCGTTTTGAGAAATCGTGTCGAACGCTTTAGCATAATCAATAAAAGCAATATACAGAGGTCTGTTGAACTCTTTGTATTTCTCCATTACTTGTTGCAAAACTTGTATATGGTCCGTTGTGGAGAACCCAGAACGAAACCCTGCTTGCTCTACTGGTTGATATTTATCGATCTCGGGGCTCAAGCGGCTTTGTAGGATTGACATGAACAGTTTATACACACTACACTTGAGAGAAGACTAATCGGACGGTAATTAGAGATGTCCTGGGGGTCTCCTTTCTTATATAGAAGTATTATGTCCGATCTTTTCCATTGCATCGGTACCTGGCCTGTGTGCAGAACCTTGTTGAATAAGTGCGTGAGTAGGCTTGTAAGTAGAATACTGCCAGCGTTGATTGCCTCATTTTGTATGCCGACAGGACCAGGACTTTTGTCTGCTCTGATTTTTCTGATGTGCTTGGTGACTTCCTGCTCGTCTACTGGTGACAAATCGATTAGGCATTGAAAGTCTACTGTAGCAACGTCAGTTTTGCACGAAATTGGTTTTGCGTATAATTGCTTGTAAAACACTGTGGCACATTCCATGATATCTTTTCTGGTTTTTGTTTCATATGATTTTGATTTTAAGCTCTGCATCCAGTACTTATGCGTGGTCAACTTCTTATAAACTTTTTTCGTGCTTCTGAAAGTATTTAGGTTGTTCTCTATAACTTTTTGCCTATAATCTTTATAGTCTTTATCTATTGCTTTACTTGTAGTTTTAAACAACGTGCTCAGTTCCTTCTTCATTTCTTTAGTTTTTTGTTTCATTTTCAGAAGTTCATTTCGTCTTGAGAGAAGAGTTTTAGTAGATTCGCTAAGTATTTTGTTGATCGATTTTTGTTTTTTATTTTATGGTCTGCGTGCAAGGCTGGTATTGATGATTTCTGCTAATTTATCGTAGAATGTTTCTGTGTCTTCTTCTTATTCTGTTTCCAGTTCTAGGTTCTCTAGGTTTTCCAAGTATGACGATATATCTTCTTCCGTTTTCAGTGTCTTTGGTTTCGCCTTGAATGCTGTTCTACTCCTTTTCCCGTGGTCTAGCATGTATGTAGCTCTGACTAAGCGGTGATCTGATGCGAATCCAAAGCGATTTAATACTTCAACGTTTCTAATTTTAGTGGGGTGGTTTGATAGTATAAAATCAATTTCATTTCTTGTGTTCCCACATGGGGGTACCCAGGTCCATTTGCAGTTTTTCCTAGCTTGAAAAAGGAGTTCATTATTGACAATTTATTTTCCAGTGCAAATTGAATTAGTTTCTCACCTCTTTCATTTCTGCTTCCGTATCCAAATTTTCCTAAAACAAAGTTTTCGCTGTCTTTTATATTGGATTGACCAACTTTAGTATTAAAGTCGCCAATAAAAAGTACTTTATCACCTACCTGATCATAATCTACCTGCAGAGTTCTACAAAATGAGTTGATTTCTTCATCTGTTGCATTTTCAGTAGGTGCATATACTTGTATTATTGTAACCAGTTGGTTGTTGTAATTCATTTTTAACAGAGCCACCCGCTCTGTGAGCGCTGAAAAACTAACGATATTATTCTTATGTTCTTTACTTATTAAAAAACCAACTCCATGTAATCCGAGTGTTTCGCCTTTATAACAGAATATGTAGCTTTCATGTTCTTCTATTGCATAGCCCAATCTTCTAACTTCTGACAAACCAAGTATATCGATTTTTATTTTTTGTAGCAAGTATGTTAGTTCTATAAATCTTTTAGTTGAAGCTAGTGATCTCACGTTCAGTGTTCGTATCTTGAGGGGTTGTTGTGGTTCTTTTATTATTTTGATTGTTTTTCAATGTAAGCTGGAGGAAGGGTTGTGGTCTTTTCCCCCCAAGGGGAACAACCGGCTTGGAGGATGGTGTTTAATTTCTGAAATTCTTTTGTGTTTTTTATTTCGTTTTGGTTTCCGATCGCCGGTATAATATGCTTCCCTGTTGTTGAAATTACTGAAAGCGAGTGTGATCGGCCTCTCATCCTGTCGAATGCATTTATTCTATTGTTTTTAGTCGTGCTTAGTGTTTGTTGTTTCTTTGGCTGTAGCTCAGCTTGCGGTGAAGTAGAATTCTCTCGCTTTCTTTTGTCTATAGTCTTTGGGTTTTCCTTTACAATAAGTTTATCATATTTAAAGTATGCTAAGTTTCCTTTTTTCCTTTCCTCAATTAGTTTGTGTTGCAATGACTTTCTAATTTCTAAAGTTTCTTTTGAGAAATCCTCTGTTATATAAAGTTCCTTTAATTTCTTTTTTGCTCCTCAGAATTTCAGACTTCTTCCATCCGCTAACCAATGAGAGTAGCGTTAGACTAGGTTTCTCACTCTTATTTCTCGTGCCGATACGGTAAATTTTATTTATTTCGTGGTTTTCTATGGTAATGTCTAGTTCATCTAAAAAATATTTTTAATGCGCTTGATTAGGTCCAGTGACGACTGCTCCTGTTCTGCCAATCCATGAATAATTATATTATTGCTTTTCTTGTCTCTCTATAAAAACTTCACCTTCTTTTCCAGATTTTCTACTTTAGGTATCAATCTTTGGTTTTCTTCTATGACGGGTGTTGTAAACCAAATATATTATAAACACTAATGGCGCCATCTACCCTTGCCATTTGTAAATCGCCATCTATGGTTCTCTTTCCTTTCATAAACTACTTACCTAACTGGAACAAACAGTTCACATAGAGAACCATAGATGGCGCTACATCCGTGCTGCTTACTTTTGCGACACGGAAAGGCGGCCATTACATTACATTATCATTACAATTAAAAGGGTTGTCACAAAGGTGCGCGAGAGCAAATACAATTACCAAACCAAAACGTCTCCAGTGTTTCCTTCATAACAAAGTACCAAACAAATTGGTGACCCCTGTGAAACGTGGAATCTGCGTGTGACGAAGGGCGACGCCGCCGGAAACCCGAAAACCGGCGCGAGGGCCGGACTGGATTTCGAACCACGTGCACGCCAACCACAACGAAGAACACAACAACAAGACACTGACTAATCCCAATTGCGCAGACTTCAGCAAATTAACAAGAAGGAGCGGCATAGGAACCGAGTGCCACGCCGCAAAAAAACTACTTGGAGACATACATAACCTCAACGTGCTTCTAAAGGAGAGTGAGCTGATTCCTTTTTTATTATTTTCCATTCCAATCCCTCTATCTTTCGTTCAATTACAATTTTCACCAATTTTTTATCCAATCATGGACGATATTCAACAACTTTCACGCAGTAGAGCAGCCCACAAGGGTAAACTTACCCAATTTACCAATTATATCGACAACTTGTCAACACCTCTCAAGATGTTGTTATAAACCTTGAATTACGTATCGAAAATATAATAGCAACTTATGATAAGTTTGATTCAATTCAAACCGAATTAGAAAGCCTGTCCGAGGACACCGATAGTCAAATCCTCGAACGTGCCAAATTCAAGGAACCTTACTTCGAGAGCCTAGCCAGAGCCAAAGGGCTGGTTAAGGCCTTTAGTAACGAACATATTACACCTGAAGCCAAACCATCTCATAGTGAATGCATTGACTCAATAAAATTTCCCGAAATTGCATTACCCAGTTTTAGTGGTGACTTTAGGGAGTGGCTTCAATTTAGGGAGACCTTTGACGCCTTAATAAACCAAAGTTCTCTTATATTTACGCGAATACGACACATTGAAATAATACTAATTTTTACGGAATTTATCGCGTATATTTAACTTTTTTTACCCGACGTTTCGAGAGCTTTACAGCACCCATGGTCACGGGAAGGACTGAGATGTTCAACGTCCAGCTGTCATAGTTAACCGCGGTTACCATAGATTAAAATTTAACTTTTGTTCCGATCTACACAGTATGAACTTATGGTATCATGGAGTCTTGCAGTTGTATGCTTGGGTTGGGATTTAATTTTATTTATTATAGGATCCCAAGCAGATGGTAGCACCCAGCCATCTTCTCTATTGAAATTAGGATGTTTTTTGATTTCAATAGCCTCGCGAATCATCCTTGGAAGGAATCGGTGTTCTTTAGCGAGGATTTGTGGTCTATCAAATCTGATGTAGTGACGGGGGCGATCCTGTACATGTTCACAGACTGCAGACTTCCCGGAGCGTCGATTCTTCACATCAGCTATATGTTCTTTGACGCGGGTTTTAATTGATCTTTTAGTTTGTCCTATGTAGGAGAGACCACATTCACAATCAAGCTTGTACACTCCTGCATCTTGCAGAGGGACGTTACACTTGACTGATGGTAAAAACTGACCAATCTTCTTCGGCGGCTTGAAGTATGTTTTGATGGAAGCGCGCTTCAAGATGTAGCCAATCTTGTCAGTGACTCCTCTAACATATGGCAGTACAGCAGGTACACGCTCGACTGTGGCCGGCTTCACTCGTTCTCTGTGACGTAGGCGCGGGACACGAAGCTTGTTGTCATGCAAAACTTGCTTGACATGTTGGAGCTCGGCAGCCAGGTGTTTACTGTCACAGATCCCTCGTGCTCTCTGAAACAAAGATTTACCCACGGTAGCTAACTGTGAAGGATGGTGGTGAGAATCACCGTTTAAATATCTATCTGTATGGGTCTTTTTTCTATACACAGTATGGCTCAAGGTGTTATCAGGATTCCGAATTACTAACACATCTAGAAAAGCTAAGGAATTGTTTGCCTCTAACTCCATTGTGAACTGAATTTTAGTATTTATAGAGTTAAGATGGTCTAAAAATGCAGTTACTTTATCTAAAGGTAGAATTGTGAAAGTGTCGTCTACGTACCGCTTGTAGAATCTTGGATTTATGGGAGAAGTAAGCAGGGCTTTCTCCTCAAAGTCTTCCATGAATATGTCTCGACACGTCGGGTAAAAAAGTTAAATATACGCGATAAATTCCGTAAAAATTAGTATTATTTCAAAACCAAAGTTCATTAAAATCAATACAGAAGTTCAAATATCTTCGCAGTTGCCTGAAGGATGGAGCTCTCGAGGTTGTCAATTCAGTGGAATACACGTCTGATGGCTATCAAATGGCATGGAGGCTATTATGTGAGCGTTACAACAACCCACGCTTACTAGTTTCAAACCATCTGCGATCTTTCTTCGACATTCCATTTATTTCCACTGAAAACGCCAAGTCACTTAGAGCATTAATTGATAATATAAACAGGCATTTGCGATCACTTCACACTCTTTTTATACGTGGTAGAGCCATGCTGCAGTTATATTAGTAGTATAGTTGTAGCACGAATGGGTCGGCTCGACCGGGGAAGGACCACGCTCTCACAGAATACCAGCGTGAAATAGTAGCTTAATGCTGCTGTATTTCGTATGGTGAGTGTAGAGAACCGAAGACCCTTTTTACTGGAAACGAGGCATTCCATCTTAGTCCTCACGGGTGACAACGCATCTGCATTTTGATTCGTAATCGAGGATAGATGTAGATGCCTATGGGCCACAGCAACCACTTACCATCAGGTGGACTGTGTGCTCGTTTGTCACCCTATCCTATAAAAAAAAACTCTTAATATATCTGTCCATGATTGGGACTTAATTATCATTTATTTTATGTCAAACAAATTACCTCCCTTGATGCAACGGTCATGGGAAGAAAATCAAAACTCAAATGTGCTACCTTCATTGCAGGACTTTAAAAACTTTCTACGGAGGCGAGCTGACATTCTCGACAACATGAATGTTACTAAACCTGGAGGCTCGGATGCACGGAAAAGTTTGGTAACCACATCCTCAAAGTCAACTATAAATCCTTCGTGTCCACAATGTAGGCACTATCTTAACCAATGCAACAATTTCTTGGCTCTGAATGTAAGGGAACGCTATAGGGCTGTAAAATCATTTGAGTTGTGTACAAACTGCTTAGGTAATCACAATGTGATCAATTGTAACATTGATAAGGTGACTCCTTCTACGATGCATGTTGCGCAACCAACTTAAACGTACAAACGTTGAAGTACCTCGCTGCACTTTCACCAAACCAATCAATCAAGTAATCAAGTGCAAGTAAGGGAACTTGTACAGCCAGCAGCAAATGCAGGTTCAATCAATATTCATACACATAATAAGGCGGTAACCGCCCCAACCAAAAATGAAAAAATGGTATTTTTGTCTACAGCGGTGGTCCGAGCATACGACTCGCGACATCAAACCCACCACTTGAGAGTCTTACTAGATAGTGGCTCACAATCCAACTTTATTTCAGAAAAGGCCTTTCAATTGTTGAAACTATCCAAAAGAAATATCAACATGGAAGTGATAGGTTTTAATGATAATTCAACTAAAATCAAAGATTATTGTAACATCAATATTGAGTCAAATGATAGCCAATTTCAAACAAAACTGACTTGTTTAATTGTGCCACAAATTTGTAACCTACCAAATTATAATTCATCAATAATTAAAATTAAATTCTTGAACATTCCAGCTCACATCAAATTAGCAGACGAAAACTTCTCCTCAGCGGGTGAGGTTGACTTACTCATTGGGGCCGAGCTATTTTACAACTTATTGTGCATTGGAAGGCATAGTCTGGGAGAGGGTTATCCTATATTACAAAAGACAAAGCTGGGATGGATAGTATCAGGGTCTTTAGCAAGTCCCACACAGGTACGATGCAATTTATCATTAAAAACTCAATTGAAACACTTCTGGGAAATGGAGGAATGTGGTGATAATCCATTCACCTCCACTGACGACCAAGTGTTGTCCCATGATGACAAACAATGCGAGGAAGTGTTTATGACACACACCCGCAACTCTGAGGGCAACTTTGTTGTAAATTTACCATTCAAACTACCTATTACCTCTTTAGGCGAATCCAAGCACATTTCTAAACAACGTTTTCTGTCAATGGAGAGAAAATTTTCTAAAAACAAAGAGTTTACACAAATGTATACTCAATTTATGCGAGAATTTGAACAAGCAGGGCGCATGGAGAAATGTACTGCCTCGGACGTCGGACGTCGAATCATTTCCTAATGAATACAAACTACTTAAAAATAATTCACAATTGCCTAAAACCTCAAAACTTTTGAGTCTTAAACCATTTATGGACAATGATCTTATAAGGGTGGGAGGACGTCTTAGTCAATCACACTACGAATTTGACAGAAAACACCCCATCATCCGCCTCATGCATGCAGGACCCCAGCTGCTGCTGTCTAGCATGAAGGAGCAGTACTGGCCTATCAAGGGTAAGCTTTTAGCAAATAACATTTATAGAGAATGCGTACCTTGCTTCAGAGCCAAGCCACAGGCAACAACGCCTATGATGGGCGACCTACCAGGTCACAGAGTACAACCAGCACCACCATTTTACACTGTGGCACTAGATTATGCGGGTCCATTTCTACTTAAAGACAGGCAGGGGCGTGGTTACAAAACTTACAAGTCTTATATAGCCATTTTTATATGTTCTTCAACGAAGGCCGTACATATTGAGCTTGTTACAGGTCTAGAAACTCATAGCTTCATGTCGGCGTTTAGAAGGTTCATAGCCAGACGCGGGAAGCCACGAGTGGTGGTGAGCGACAACGGCACCACCTTCCGAGTTGCCGATAGGGAGTTAAGGGAGTTATACGATTTTCTTAACACGAGCTCTAACGAATTGACAACCTCGTGTACCGAGCAAGGTATTGTATGGAAGTTTGTACCTAGTTACTCACCTCACATGAATGGTTTGGCAGAGGGCGCTGTTAAAAGTTGCAAATATCATCTAAAGCGTGTCCTGAAACAAAGTTTACTTACCTATGAAGGTTTTTCAACAGTATTAATTCAGATAGAGGGAATCCTTAACAGCAGACCTTTATGTCCTATTCCCTTTTCTGATTCAGAAGTATTCCAAGTCCTTACACCAGCTCACTTCCTGATAGGAAGAACTCCAGTGGCATTACCGGATTATCGATACGACGAAGTCCCTAACAACAGACCTAAATACTTTCAACAACTCCAACAGATCTATCAATCCTTCTGGAGGGGCTTCTCAAGAGACTACGTGGGGCTACTCCAACAACGAGGCAAGTGGCAGAGCTCCAAGGGACCCACTCTGACAGCTGGCTCCGTAGTTCTCATCAAGGACAAGCACACTCCACTATGCCAGTGGAGACTGGCGAGGATCATCGAGACACACCCCGGGGGCGACGGAATGACTCGCGTGGCCACACTGAAGATATCCCAGGGCTCCGGCATCAAGCTTTCGTTCCCGAAAATTTGTCCTCTACCAATACAAGATAATCATTAACTTATTTATTTTATAAATAAATAAATATAATTTTATTGCCACTAAAAAAAACATGTATACATATAAACTAATTATTTAATCTTAATTTAATTTAGGCAAACGGAGGTGACTCAGCTTTTGCTTACATGGAACTAGATCCCATGAAGCGCTGGTTTTCAGGCACTCCATCTTCCCTGAGATGTTACACGGGTGTTATGAGAATTTCGAGTTCCCCTTTCATTTACTCACCTATCATTGTAATTTAACATGGTATGGTTCTGAAATTTCATAATTATTAATTAATAATATTTGCATTCGTGCGTGCGCGTGTGTTTGTGTGTGTGTGTGTGTGTGTGTGCGTGCGCGTGCGTGCGCGCGTGTGGGCGTGCGTGCGTGCGCGCGTGCGTGCGTGCGTGCGTGCGTGCGTGCGTGGGTGCGTGCGTGCGTGCGTGCGTGCGTGCGTGTGTGCGTGCGTGCGTGCGTGCGTGCGTGCGTGCGTGCGTGCATGCGTGCGTGAGTGCATGCGTGCGTGCGTGCGTGTGTGCGTGCGTATGTGCGTACGAGTGTGCGTGCGTGTGTGCGTGCGTGTGTGCGTGCGTGTGTGCGTGTGTGTGTGCGTGCGTGTGTGCGTGCGTGTGCGTGCGGTGTGTGCGTGCGGTGTGTGCGTGCGTGTGTGCGTGCGAGTGTGTGTGGGTGCGTGTGTGTGTGTGTATGTGTGTGTGTGTGTGTGTGTGTGTGTGTGTGTGCGTGCGTGTGTGCGTGCGTGTGTGCGTGCGTGCGTGCGTTCGGGCGTGCGTGCGTGCGTGCGTGCATGCGTGCGTGCGTGCGTGCGTGCATGCGTGCGTGCGTGCGTGCGTGCGTGCGTGTGTGCGTGCGTGCGTGCGTACCAGTGTGCGTGCGTGTGTGCGTGCATGTGTGCGTGCGTGTGTGCGTGCATGTGTGCGTGCGTGTGTGCGTGCGTGTGCGTGCGTGTGCGTGCGTGTGCGTGCGTGTGCGTGCGTGCGCGTGCGTGCGTGTGCGTGCGTGTGCTTGCGTGTGCGTGTGTGCGTGTGCGTGTGTGCGTGTGCGTGTGTGCGTGTGTGTGTGTGCGTGTGCGTGTGCGTGTGTGTGTGCGTGTGTGTGTGTGCGTGTGTGTGTTAGCGTGTGTGTGTGTGCGTGTGTGTGTTAGCGCGTGTGTGTTAGCGTGTGTGTGTTAACGTGTGTGTGTTAGCGTGTGTGTGTGTGCGTGTGTGTGTGCGTGTGTGTGTTAGCGTGTGTGTGTTAGCGTGTGTGTGTTATCGTGTGTGTGTTAGCGTGTGTGTGTTAGCGTGTGTGTGTTAGCGTGTTTGTGTTAGCGTGTGTGTGTTAGCGTGTGTATGTTAGCGTGTGTGTGTTAGCGTGTGTGTATTAGCGTGTGTGTGTTAACGTGTGTGTGTGTTAGCGTGTGTGTGTTAACGTGTGTGTGTTAGCGTGTGTGTGTGTGCGTGTGTGTGTGTGTGTGTGGTTAGCGTGTGTGTGTTAGCGTGTGTGTGTTAGCGTGTGTGTGTTAGCATGTGTGTGTTAACGTGTGTGTGTTAGCGTGTGTGTGTGCGTGTGTGTGTGCGTGTGTGTGTTAGCGTGTGTGTGTTAGCGTGTGTGTGTTAGCTTGTGTGTGTTAGCGTGTGTGTGTTAGCGTGTGTGTGCGCGTATGTGTGCGCGTGTGTAATAGATTCTCTTTTGGGCACATTAAAGCAAAAACGAACACAGGCATTTTGAGTCTTGGACCAAAGGTGGAACTGCAGTAATTAAATTGAAATAGTACCAGAGTATCACATAAAAGTATCCGTAAATCCTCCTTAAGATATGGTCTGATTTTTGTAGAGCGTTTTCAGCTTGAAAAAATGCTGTCCTTATTTTGTTATTAACGTGATAAATAAATTTTGTTCCTCATCTAAAATTAGGCGGAGATAACGGGCAGTGCTTACTTGTTCCAGAATAACATTATTTATTTTAACTTTTTCTCCAACGTCTAACACATTTTTATTTGGCGTTTAGTGCCTAAGACCAACATTTGAGATTTAGCTGCATGAGAACCAGAGTTATTTTCAGACCATGTGTGGATACTTCTCAGGTCATCATTAACTTTCTCAGTAGCCATCTACCCTTGCCATTTGTAAAGCGCCATCTATGGTTCTCTTTCCTTTCATAAACTACTTACCTAACTGGAACAAACAGTTGACATAGAGAACTATAGATGGCGCTACATCCGTGCTGCTTACTTTAGCGACACGGAAAGGCGGCCATTACATTACATTATCATTACAATTAAAAAGGTTGTCACAAAGGTGCGCGAGAGCAAATACACTTACCAAACCAAAACGTCTCCAGTGTTTCCTTCATAACAAAGTACCAAACAACGGGTTTTAATTTTTCATCCATTTTTCCAAGTATGTTATATATATGTTCCAAGTGGTATTAGTCAGTTCAATTTTTTGGTTCTGTAATTCTATCTTCATCTTTTCGAATAGAAGTTGGAATTGTTCGTCCATGTTTTGTGTGTAATGGGACGTGTTTAGTTACATTTAATGATGGTAACACTGAGGTGGCGTTATCTATGGTCTCTCCAGAGAGTTGATTCAGAAGGGCTAGAACCCAGAGCTAAACAAAAATTATCTACTGCCAGCAATGTGTCAGCTGTCAAATTGGAAATATCAATATGGTTCTAACCTCCGTGGTTTTTCGGATTATTTATTCCAATTTCTTCGTGGGAATCAAGCATATAACTCGATGTTTAATGTAATAATCGTTTTATCGCACTTAGTTCTTGGTTTTGATGTGGTATTAATGTTATAAACTGTGACTTTAACTATTTGTATGTATTAATTTTTCAGATCACTGACACTGTGATGTTCGCCCTACGAATACCGGAACCGGAATCTTGGCCCTGCCAATATGCGACGATGGTAGAACACCATGGGGTTTTAGTCGGTGCGAGTACGACATAACCCGTCCTTGCCCCCGCAAGGCGGGTATGCGTAAGCATTTCCCCATGTAAAAAAAAGGTTAGGTTAGGTTAAGTAAGGTTAGGTTAGGTTAGATATTTTTCCTAATTCTGATTGTTTTATAAAGCAAATTAGAGTGTAGATGGTAGTTTCTACACAAGACGGACCTAACAGGAGCGAAAAGAACGAAGGAAACGAAATTTTGAAAAAGTTTAAAAAATAATTATATGACGGCTAAAATTTTCTAAGAAAACTATAAGAAAATATGGAAGGCAAGAGGAGTGTCCTGTCTCTTCTGTCCGGTCTGTTCGGTCTATCCGGACTGTCCGGTCTGTCCTATCTGTCCGGCCTGTCCCGTCCGTCCGGACAATCCGGTCTGTCCGGTCGGTCCGGTCTGTCCTGTCTGTTCGGTCTGTCCGTTCTGTCCGGTCTGTCCAGTCTGTCCAATCTGCCGGCCTATCAGGTCAGTCCAGTTTTTCCGGACGGTCCGGTCTGTCCGGACTGCCTCTGTTATATCTTCTTATATACTATTAGTATAAGTATACAGACCACACAGACCGGACATACCGAATAGACCGGAAAGATCGGGCAGACCGGACACACACGACAGACCGGACGTACCAGACGGACCGGACAGAACGGAAAGACCGGACAGATGAGAAAGAAGAGAAGAAAAAGGACAGAAGTAAATAACATATATGTGTATAATATATTAATTTATATATTATACACTTATATAATATTATATACTTCCTATATATATATATATATATATATATATATATATATATATATATATATATATATATATATATATATATATACATATATACTTTTATACATATAAAGAAGTATATAATATACGGAAGTATATAATATATAAGAAGATATAACAGTGACTAACCGGACAGGCCGTACAGACCGGATCGACCGGACAGACCGGAAAGACTGGACAGACCGGACAGATCGAAAAGACCGGACTGTGCAGACGGACCGGACAGGCCAGACAGACCGGAAAGACCGGACAGACCAGACAGATCGGACGAGCTGGAAAAACCGGATAGACTGGACAGACCGGACAGAATGGACAGACCGGACAGGCCGGACAAACCGGACAGACCGGACATGCTGGACAGATCGGACAGGCCGGGCAGACCGGACAGACCGGATAGACCGGAAAGAACGGTCAGACTGGATAGACCGGACAGAACGGATTGACCAGACGGATCGGACAGGCCGGGCAGACCGGATAGACCGGACAGACCGGACAGACCGGACAGATCTGACAGAAGAGAAGAGAAAGACAGAAGTATATAATATATATGAAATATATATATTGGAAAATATTTATATATACTAAACAAACAAAATTCTAAATTCTAATTCTAATACTAAAAACCTTAAACATATATATTATAACAAATAAAATATGTTATTAAAAAGGAGGTCCTTTAGGTAAGATTCCGAAGATCCTGGTAGCGTTTCCCCGTTGAATAGCTAGACTAATTCTTTGTCCGAGGTAGCTGCCAGCTCTTCGGTCTCCTGTGACGTCGATTGACCTTTTTGCTATTTCCTTAAAAAGACTTATAGCGCTAGGACCACACGGACCAAGGGTCTCGACACCCTTCGACCTCAACACCGAAAGGGACAAAAATATATTCGGAGCCTAGACCTCTGTATTTGCATACTTTAGCTTTTTCAGTCGCTTCACAAGCTGCACCAGCTCTGTTGTTGGTCCCATGTAGATGGGAAGTGGCCAGCGTGTCTGAACAGGTTGCATCCCATACCAGCATCCAGCCCATCTTCCATGTAATCAAACTCATAACATCCGATCTCTTGCCATCGTCTCTTGCAATACCAGACGGCTCAAGTAGACTTGGCACGTTGACGGTGGCAAGAGACCGCCTTATGATATCGTTAAGTGCTGCATGTCTCGAGAAGCGACCTGCACTTTTTTGGCATGATGGCCCGTGATGTCCTAGCTTGTCGACGTCACAGCCACACGGACATTTATGAGGAGCGCAGACCGGAACCCCAAGCCGTAGACAGATTGCGATTCGGAGCATGTCAGGCTCAAGAAATGTTCCTGTATTTGACGAAGGGTACGCGTGAAGCCAGTACCCGGCCTCATGCGTACCCACGGCCAAAAGCCTAGCACGTGCGGAACCTGTACTAAAGCTCAAAAGATTGTCATAAGTCAATTTGCAGTTTATGTTATCCCAGCTCCTCTGTGAATTTAGAGGAAATCGAAAATGTTGACCAGGGCATGCAATTAAGAAAGCGTTTGTAGCTTCTTCCAGGCCAGCAATCTCAAAGTTTGAAGGGGATTCCCTTAAAATTTTACTTATGAGATTTGCTGAACTATGGACAGAAGATAAGGCTGGTAAAGAGACACTGGAAATTTTATGAATCCCTAAACCACCATAACGGATGGGTAGGGATGCTTGGGTCCAATATTGCTCGTTCAGGTGTATATTAAGAATCGATTCTAAATTAATTTTGATTAAGTTGTCTACTTGTGTCAAGAGGTCTGGGTGATTCCAAAAGGAGCAGCAACGGAGCACATACGTAAATTTTGGGACGAAAAGACAGAATTTTAAAATGCAAAGTGCATAATGTAATAATTTGAAGGATAAATAATTTGAAGGCATGCTTGCCCTACTATTGGTCGGTCGAGAAACTATGGGTTTACTGGAGCTGGAGGATGTTTTGTCCGTAAGGCCTGAAGGGTGTCAGGAGTATCTGGTGATAGCACTTCGTTGGAGAACAAAAGGCGAGCGGCACCTTTGAGATCTCCGTCACAGATTTTGTTTTCGATGAGTTTGTTGCGATTACGAGGGGCATCATGTTTGATTAGAGGTGCGGGAGAAGGTGAGGAGCTGACCGCAGAGTTATTTTTAATGTTTTGTGTCAAGGATAAATTTAGTTTATCAGTTTTTGTTATATGTAGTGTGCTGTATGAAAAAAAAATAGGTTCTGCCAGTCTTGAGTACAATTGCTTATGTAACATTTCTGGATTAATTGTGACAAATGTGTAGCAACGGTTATTCGAGCTCCTTGAGGGATTCTTTTAACTGTCGGTATACTATTTTTCAAATGGCTAAGATATGTGTGGAAAGGAGTTGGAAAGTTGGCTACAAAAGTAGGCGTACTTGGAATAATGGGATGTATGTCTAAAGGTGAACTGTTTTGGCTAATACATTTCCTGTCTGTTTTGTAGTGTGTATGTTGAGGCCTTTTAAAGATTTGAATCACTTGTTGCACTGTGTACATATAAGGGTTGCGTTCGCCGTGTCATTACTAGATTGGGTCACGGACTACATTCGCAATAGTTAAATACAATCACAAAAAATAATAACTTAAAACAAATTAAAAAAAAACACAATAAAGTAACTTAAAAATTACACTGAAAATATAAAAAAGTCAAAGTCAAAATATGACGGCTTTTTGTTTTGGTAACAAGACGCGTGCGTCGTTACGTAGGTCGTACACAGGACGGTCCCGCAATTGGACGCTGCAGTGGAAGAGATCCAGGGACGTATGGCGTCGGTAGAACAAACGATGGCGGCCTTATCAACCGTGTCTTGAAGTTATCACACGCAAACTAGAACTTTTCATATACTGAACAGACACTGTGGTGGGAACAACAACAAAATCCCCATGTGCAAATATGAAAAATATCCCGACAAACTCTTATATGTAGGTCTGAGCAGTCAGGAGATTAAACTGGCTTAAAATAAATATAATGATTTCTTATATTTACGCGAACACTACACATTGAAATAATACTAGTTTTTACGGAATTCATCGCGTGTATTTAACTTTTTAATTACGCGACGTTTCGAACGCTTTACAGCACTCATGGTCACGGGCAGGACTGAGATGTTCAACGTCCATATGTCATAGTTAACCGCGGTTACCATAGATTAAAATTTAACTTTTGTTCCGATCTATGCAGTATGAACTTATGGTATCTTGAAGTCTTGCAGTTGTATGCTTGGGTTGGGATTTAATTTTATTTATTATAGGATCCCAAGCAGATGGTAGCACCCAGCCATCTTCTCTATTGAAATTAGGATGTCTTTTGATTTCAATAGCCTCGCGAATCATCCTTGGAAGGAATCGGTGTTCTTTAGCGAGGATCTGCGGTCTATCAAATCTGATGTAGTGACGGGGGCGATCCTGTACGTGTTCACAGACTGCAGACTTCCCGGAGCGTCGATTCTTCACATCAGCTATATGTTCTTTAACGCGGGTTTTTATTGATCTTTTAGTTTGACCAATCTTCTTCAGCGGCTTGAAGTATGTTTTGATGGAAGCGCGCTTCAAGATGTAGCCAATCTTGTCAGTGACTCCTCTAACATATGGCAGTACAGCAGGTACACGCTCGACTGTGGCCGGCTTCACTCGTTCACTGTGACGTAGGCGCGGGACTCGAAGCTTGTTCTCATGCAAAACTTGCTTGACATGGTGGAGCTCTGTAGCCAGGTGTTTACTGTCACAGATCCCTCGTGCTCTCTGAAACAAAGATTTACCCACGGTAGCTAACTGTGAAGGATGGTGGTGAGAATCACCGTTTAAATATCTATCTGTATGGGTCTTTTTTCTATACACAGTATGGCTCAAGGTGTTATCATGATTCCGAATTACTAACACATCTAGAAAAGCTAAGGAATTGTTTGCCTCTAACTCCATTGTGAACTGAATTTTAGAATTTATAGAGTTAAGATGGTCTAAAAAATGCAGTTACTTTATCTAAAGGTAGAATTGTGAAAGTGTCGTCTACGTACCGCTTGTAGAACCTTGGATTTATGGGAGAACTAAGCAGGGCTTTCTCCTCAAAGTCATCCATGAATATGTCGGCGACAATATGGAAGATACAGGTGAGCCCATCGCCACACCATCTACTTGTGTATATATATATATATATATATATATATATATATATATATATATATATATATATATATATATAATACTTCTGTATATTATATACTTCTTTATATATACAAAAGTATATAATATATATAGACGTACATATTACATAAGTGTATAATATATAAATTGTCGTGCAAGCCGTGGTAGCTCAGATGGTTAACGCTCGCTGTAAATATAACAGAACGCGAGTAACCTGTGTTCGAGCCCCGCAATGGGGCAGCGCGGCTGACACTTCCTTGCCCTAAAACCCTCTCAGAAAGGAGGGGGAGGCCTGTGCCCAGCAGTGGCACGTGTATAGGCTGTAACTTTACTTTACTTTAATAATATATAAATTAATATATTATATACTTCTGTCCTTTCTCTTCTCTTCATTCTCTTCTGTCCGGTCTATCCGGTCTGTCTAGTCTGTCCGGACGGTCCAGTCTGTCCAGTCTGTCTGGTTTGTCCGGTCTGTCCGGTCTGTCTCTGTTAATCTTCTTATATATTATATACTTCTATATATTATACACTTCTATAAATTATATAATTCTATATACATTATATACTTTATATATATTATGTATAAATAAGTATATAATATATAGAAATAATTATATACTTCTTTATGTATATTCCGTCTGGTCAGTCCTGTCTGTCCGGTCTGTCCGGTCTGTCCAGTCTGTCCGATCTATGCAGACTGTCCGATCAATCCGGTCGGTCCGTTCTGACCGGTCTGTCCATTCTGTCCTGTCATTCCGGTCAGTCCGGTCTGTCCGGTTTGTCCGGTCTGTCTTTGTTATATCTTCTTATATATTATATACTTCTATAAAATATGTACTCCTTTGTATATATATATATATATATATATATATATATATATATATATATATATATATATATGTCGGAAATATGGTGTAACACGATAAGCCAAAATTGTGTGGGAAATAACAGGATAGCGTTAATTATTAAAAAATGGTAAAAATGTGAGAGCTGATGTTCAACTTGCTCTCTTGCTTGCGCAATTTATTGTATTCAATAATAGGACAGCGTAACGCTCTATACATTCAGCATAGAGTAATTACAGTTTGAGACCATACTGCAGTGTGTCCCTGTCACAATTACACACCGGCGCAATGTGAAGGACACAACTACATGATTGTTGGAGCGGAAAACCTAGTGGTTGTTTTTATGGTGAGGCAGCACCACTGTCCTCATTTGACAAGGGTTCAGTCGAGCTACCGTAGATTGTTTCCATTGTAATGAAAGAGATCTAAGACCACACCCTTTTAATTTTGCACTAC